ATGAATAAATAACTGCCAAAGATCGGTATGCGCGGCGGCCCTTAAAGGATGGCATAATGACAAAAAACTCCACATTATTTTCCAGAAAAAAAAAATTAAATTTAAAGAAAAAACTAACCCGGCGGAAATCCTTCGGGACGACCAACAGCATAGCGATGGGATAAGTAAAGAAAGAACACCGCACAAATGCATAAAAGTATTACCGTTAACATTTCCTCGCGATTTCTATCACATTAACACGTCGAATCAAAACAAAGAATGTTGAAGATCAACTGAATTGCTCCACTTGTTCACRCTTTGTTTTTGTGCGCCAGCGCTTCCAGTGCAGTCGGACTGCGCGCGGAATAATCTGATCGTGACGCAATCCTGCTCATTTCTGCAGAGTTCACTTCCMTTTACCGATAGGCCTCTATGCCATATACGATTGTATATACATAACACACATCGGTACATACGTTTCATCTGCATTTATTGCTTGTCTTAAGCGGACACGTGTTGGTCTCTCGGCAATTAATTAGCCAAGAAAAGCGAGAAACTCATTTAGCATTTGTTTTTTACTTTTGCGATGCACGACCTCGCAATAAATGGTTTTTAAATCAAATAAATTATATATCGAAATTCATTTGTTGGAATATTGCTTACATTTTTAGTAAAGTATCAGACTTGTAAAGAAAAAGATTTAATTTTTTGAACTGCCATTTCAGTGAAAATAAATTTTAATTTTTTGAGAATAATTCGTTGTACACAGGGGCGAATCCACAGGGATACAAAAAGAAACTACAAACGCTGAGATGATACCATGTTTWTCYCAWAATYTGAACAAATTGCTTTGATTGGAAGGATATCTGAAATATTCAGAGGATTTACAACATTTTTCCAAGTTTCAAGACCGAAACGTAACACTGTTTTAGCTCAATTCTTGAGCMTAAAAATTGTGCAGCTTTGTGAAACAAGATAGGTGAAAGACATGATGGCGTTCATCAATTCATAGTCACCCTTCCAGAAATCGTTCAAGTACTGGCAAAAAAAAAATCAAAAATAATCATCTGTTACCAAAATTGAATCTAAATTTGGAAGAAAAGGATTTACTGTACTCATTGAATACCTAATTAGACGYTTTGAGAAAATCTTGCCCGGAAGCAAAGAACTGCAAAAAATGAAGCTCATAGCAGAAGTAGCGCTTTTCAACAACCATGGAAAATGATATATATCCGTTCATTCATATTCTTCTTCACATACTCTGCACTTTGCCAGCCACAACTTCTAGCACTGAAMSATCCTTTTCTTCTTTGCGCGGAATCAAGACTTGGCTCAGAGCAACGTTGCTCCAGAAAAGGTTGACCGGCTAAGCACTCCTCAACATAAACTACAAAATTCTTGTGGAACCAGAACAAATGGCACAAAAATTTAGTAAAATGAGCAAACACCGTATTGATTTTATGCTGTAAATTAAATCTTGAAATATGTATAAAAAATAAAAWGATAGTTTAAAGTTAAACATTTCTTAAATCAATAACAAAATCATAAGGGCCCCCCCAAAAAAAAAAATTCTACTCTGGATCCGCCCCTGGTTGTACATCTACCATTTTTCGGTCAAGCTTACATACATACATATATTAATGCTGTACAGGATTGGCTCTTCAGAAAAAAAAAATWWTTTTTAAGAACATTTTTTTATCATTTGTCCTTTTGTATCTATTTATTTACTTAAATTGATGAATTGTTTGAACCAACATTCTTTATCATCTCCACCATCAGTGTTATGCTCATCAATAAGCTCTCAACTCTATTCTAGGATCCAGTTGCAATTTATTGTTGTAAACAAAATTCACAGCTTTCATTTCGATTTTGCCTTTATCATTATGAGGTTGTATAGTAGATATCTGTAGCTGCATTTATAGCCGAAACTGATAACGCTTCTTAAGAAGTAYTATCACTCTGGTCATTCACACTTAAGTACATAATTAGTATATATTTTCCTAGAGTAAATTATGTGAATTTAATTTAAACTTKTTTACATTGTACTATATAWAGTATGTACATTGTGACAAAAAAGTACTCGTAAATTGTAAATAAAACGATTTTTTTCGCCTTCAAAGTAAAGTAAAAGTGGCCTTCAGCTTCTTCAGGGAATTTTGTTTTATCACTTCGATCGACTGAAAACGGRTTCCACGGAGCGGCAACTTTAATTTGGGGAACCAGAAAAATCTGACAAATACGGTGGCTGATCGATTGTTTTCATTGCATTTCTGGCCTTAATGTGGTCATAATACTCTTTATGAAAAAATCAGTTTTAGTGCGACGAGTCGAGTAAGAACGGACTGRCGTGAGATGTCGAGCTTTCTTGCCATCTCTTGACTTTCAAATTCCATAACCTCCATTTTTTTTTTAATATTGTCATCAGTTGAAGAGGTTGTCCAGAACGAGGCATGTCTTCAACGACCTCTCGATCGTCTTTAAAGGGGGATACACATAAAATATCGAAGTTCTAAGTGCCGACTAAATTTAAATATGCAGCTAAATCAAAATGCCGATATGTGAAAAATATTTTATCTTGTATGCCCTTAGTTCTATCGAAGCACAGAAAGCGAATTCTACTGACTAAGGGTTATGATCCTGAGCGTGTTAATGGACGGAGACCGAAGGCCGCAGGGTATCGAACGAACAAAGCCACCTTTTCTTGATTTGTTAGTGTTTTGATTTGCCGGTATTTTGGCTGTCGAGATTCTAAATTTCGAGATTACGTTATACACCCGTCCTTATCTCTATCGAAGCACAGAAAGAAAATTCTAAGGATTATGATCATGAGCCACGATTTTTTGATTTGTTGGTATTTTGATTTGTCGTCATTTTGACTGTCGGAATTCTCAATTTTCAGATTTTGATTTTCGGTATTACGTTATACCACCCGCAATACACAAACGTAGAAATTAAGGACAGTGGTACCAATTTAACAAAACACAATTTTTTAAATATCAAATATCCGGGTGACAGCCTGTCTATCCGTCCATCTGTGCAAGCTGTAGCTTCAGTAAAAATTTAGATATCTGGATGAAACTTGGAACTTGTGTGTTCTTCTTTGAACCATACGAACCTTGATTTTATGTACACCCATAATCGGTCAACTGTCACGCCCACAAACGCCACTAATAGGAAACGTATAAAGTGTCATAACTAAGCCGTAATTTAAGGTACAGAACTCATATCTTTGTCCCTGCTCAAGTGAAATCGAGTAATAACCCAGAACACTTCCCTTATAATGGTTTTCATAAAAATTTTAAATTTTTGACATCTGGGCTGTATGGCAGCTGTGGAAGCGTTGGGATGCGTGCCTTGGTTAGGTAGCTGTTCACAAGAAAGACGGTGTGAGCCGGGGCGTTGTCGTGGTGCAACTTGCAATCCGCTGCGATGTATTGTCGGACCCGATTGAACCTTCGTTGAGCCTCTTAAGAACTTCCCCCTAATACTTGGCGTTGACGGTTTGTCCAGGAGGAACAAATTCATGGTGGATGAGGCCTTTGATGTCAAAAGAGACAATGAGCATCATTTTTTCTTTGGATTTGCTCATTCTTCCCTGTTTTGGGCGGGGAGAGAGCAACATCTGTTTCTGTCGCAGATTTTCCGAGTTTCACACAGAAATTAATCGCGCACTTCTGTTCTAACGAATGCTGCATTTTCGTCTTGAACCACTCCCAGAAACACGTTGCGCGAAAATGTTGAATTGGTTCAATCGGGTTAATACTTCCCTGAGTCCTCATATATATATTACCTTCCCTATAGGAAATTCTGCAAATGCCCTTCTAATGCGCTTACAACCACTTTTGCCAACCAATCTTTTAGCGTGGTGTTCAAAACCAAAAAAACTAAAGAAAGGACACTATATTCGATCAAATGTCAGAGTGTTTTTTTTTTAATTAATTTTTTTAATCCCCTCATGAAATTTCCTTGGAAATACCCTAAACAATATTCCTTGAAAATTTGAGCCCCTAATATTAATATTAGGGATTGGATACAAGACAATCGCGTTTTTTTTTTAATTTCTATAGCTCAAACGCATTTTATGGCATCGCTTTGACTTTGGACACACATTCCTCAGAATTGAACACTCTACAAAAGTGTCCATTGCGACAAAGTCGAAACTCACATCGGCGAGGTAGTACGGAGCTCTAAACCTGATTTTTCCCGAGATTCCCATTTTTTTTTTGTATATATCTCGTAAATGACAAGAGCTATGGAAAAATGTAAATGACAAACTTCTAGGAAATTTTATTTGCTACTAAAAAGGTCCGAGCGCAAAAATAATATCATTAATACTTTTCGAGATATTTGGCTTTTGAAGTAAGAATTTTCATATGTAAACAAGCAAAATTGCCGCTTTCGGGACGAAGAGCAACTTGAAGAGATTCAAGAGCTGCCATTTAAACCAGAAACGACAACGGTCTGGTGTGGTTTGTGGGCCGGTGAAATCATCGGGGCATATTTCTTCAAAAATGATCCCGGTGAGAACTTAACTGTCAATGGCGACCGTTATGTCGCTATGATAACCAACTATTTGATGCCTGATCTCGGCGAAATCGCATCAATCAGTGAATTTATTGAGATAACACTTCGGTCAGCAAATTTCACGATATGGGCTGGTACATTGGCCACCGCTTCGGTTATGGCCTTGGATCAAAATATCAAGCGTGTCATTCGCCTGTTATCAGTCGAAATGCTCAAACGAGTCATCGGAATTTGAACTGAATAGCTGGACCATATGAGACGGAGCCGCGACCAATACTGACCACAAGAGATAATCTTCAAAATGTAAATTCCAAAGAATGTTCTTTCGAATGATAACAAACAGTCCGCACTAAATTTTAAGTTGCTGTTAATATAAAGTGTAATTCTCTTCTACACCGATCAATACAATATATTTTATATGAGGTTATGTTTGCATTGTCTAAGGTTAGACATGTTTTTATGTGCTTGGCGATTTTCGTTTCATAAAAGGTTACATTATAAGCGTATATCTAAAAGAGCTAAAGCCTATCCATAAATCGAGTTTGAGAAGAGTTTTGACGATTGGAGAAAGCGCTAGCAATGGTGTATAATATTGAATAGGGACTATTTTGAAGGCGAAAACCTTAACATAGACAAAAGAATTTTTTTTTTTTTTTTTTTAATTTAAAATTTCCGTTATTATTGGAACACATCTCGTATACAGATAAATTAAGGGGTCAGTAGGGAAATCTTTTTCAAAAAAAAAAAAAAAAATTTTTTTTGCATTTTCTGTTCCCCTATACCCTT